CCGGGCCCGGGGGGGTGCTGGCTCCCTCTGACCTGCCTCCCTGCCACACTTTCTGATAGAGAGGCAGCATCGCGGGAGATGATGGGGGCAGGTGGGAGCCAGTGCCCACACGTAAACATAGCAAGTCTTTGTCCCAAAGTTTCAGAGGCGTATCTGTGTTGGTCTGTAATAGAAAAAACTTAAACAACAAATAGTCTGGCAGCACGTTGGAGTACGTCTAGACTATAGGCTGTTGTTGACAGAGGTTTTGTCGACTGATTCTATCGACAAAGCGCATCTAGACTACATCCATTTCTGTCGACAAAGCAAGCCACTTTGTCGACATGAGAGTGTTGACGCAAAGGATAGTGTAGATGCAATAACGCCTTCTGTCGACAGAACTCTGTCGATAAAAGGCGTTATTCCTCGTAGAATGAGGTTTACCGCCGTCGACAAAGCTGTAGATGGTATCATAAGCTTTTGTGGGCACAACCTGCTTCTTCAGATGAATGGAATTAGAGGTCCAAGATCCAAATAAAGTCCCAAAGATCTTCATCTAATCAAACACCAAAAAAATAGCAGGGTGCAGAGGGGCGAGTGACTCACCCAAGGTAGATCAGTGGCAGAGCCATGAATACAACCCAGACCTCCTGACTCCTTGTCCAGGGTTGTATCCGCCAGACAGCACTGACTCTTCATGACCCAGGATCACTCTCCTCCTTAACCCTCCTCCTCTCTCCGCAGACCCATCCTGTGTATCTGGCGAAGCTGATTTTCCAGATGCCCCAGAACAAGTCGACCAAGTTCATGGAATCAGTGGTTTTCGCCCTCTACAACTACGCGTCCAACCCCAGGGAGGCCTACCTGCTCCTTCAGCTCTTCCAAACCGCCCTGCGGGAGGAGATCAGGTAAGAGCTGCCCCCACGGACCGTCAGCCAAGGCCGGAGCTGTGCCAATCCGTGGGCTGTTTGAAGGAGCCGGCAGTCTGTCTCCGATGAAATGGTCTCAGCCGGATGCCTCTAGTATTCCCAGACCCCTGAGACCCGTGGCTGCCTCGGAGGTAACAGACCTGCTGTCAGGCAAGGATGTAGGGCGAGGTCCTGTCCAGACTCCTAGTGGCCAGGATTTGACCCTTTTCTCAGGGCATGGGCAGGTGAGGATGTGGCCCACAGGCCAGGTATGGCCCACCAGGACCCTCAGGCAGGGAGCAGCCCCATGCCCCTCAAAGCAGCTGGCTGCTTAATGTGTCTCTGTGTGCTGCCCCCGCCCCCAGTGCAATCACTCAGCTCCCATTGGCCGGCTCCCAGGGATTACCTCCTCAGGCTGCCATGGCAACCTTAACCCCGCCCTGCCCTGTGCTGCACAAAGGCACATGAAGGGAGCAGCCAGCTGTTTGTGGCAGGCAGGGAGTGTACCAGAGGTCTCCACCCCATCCTGCCCCAGGACACCACTCCCTCCCATACTGCACCCTGCCCCCCATCCACTCCCCCAAGTCAGAACCCTCTCCTGCACCCATACCCCTCCCCGACCCTGCACCCCAGTCCTCTGCCCCAGGTCACACCTTCCTTCTTCACCCACACTCCCTCTCAGACCTCCCGCCCTCTCCTGCACCCCAGTCCCCTACCCCGACCTCCCTTCTGTGCCCAGCTTCCATCCCAAACCCCACATCCCCTTCATAGAACAGTGCAGCCCTTGACCACTTGCCAAAATCTTGGGGTGGGCCACCAAAAATGATTGCCCAATGCGGTCAGGCGTGCGGTTGCAGCACACGGACTAGGGCCAGGCTGCTGTCGCTTCGCTGCGCTTGGTGCCCGAGTAAGCTGGGTCTGCCCCTGCTGCAGACACACCTCCAGTTCTAGAGCAGCTAGGCCCTTAGTTCCTGCCCCCGATGTCTAGGAGGGGCGTGGAGATCCTGAGCCATCAGCAGCCCCTTGGCCTGGTATGGGCTGTCCCTAAGGGAATGTGGCACCTGGAGCAATGCCCCCCTCCCGTCCCACTCCTTGCCGCGGGGCTCCACTCCCTTGCTAAAGCCCCTGCCTCGAAACCGTGCAAGCCAGGGGATTACTGGGAGGCCTGGGGCAGGGTGGCAGCAGGGGTCACCTTCCCTCCCACACTCACCACAGTGGCAAGAGCCGGCGTGACCAGGCCGCCTGCTCCGCTGCACCCCACGGCACCCTGCTTTTCTGCAGCAATGGGAAGCGAAGCAAAAGAGTTATCAGCAACTTCTGTTCAAAAGATCACCAGATCTGTGAAATCACCTCAAGTAAAGCCACATGAAACCAGAATGATGACAGAGAAAGTTGTCTCGCCACAATTTCCCTTTGGAGAGGCAGCTGATGCCTATAAGAGTCGTTATGATGTTGAGACCAAAAGAGACATAAGTGTGAGCATTACCGGTGGTGTGGTACGGGAGGAGCATATTGAATTAATGCAAGAAGGTGAAACCAAGGTTTGTCATTAAGTGAATTCCAATCAACTTGACTGACTTGCATCTTAAAAACAATATAGTTACCCTGTGTGTTCACAGTTTCCCTCGTTGCAAGTTTTGCCTTTTAAAATATCCCCATTCCCTGGTTGCTTTGTTGTGCTGTACGTGGTCCCTAGTTCCCTGTGCTGGTCAGTAGGGACTCTGTGTGGGCAGTAACCAGTGGGGGAGGACTCCTGAGGGGCGGCACGTAGGCGGTGGCCTAGTCGGCCTGACACCGGGGCTAGGTGGAGGAATCTGAACTAAGCTTCCTGGGGGCTTAGTGACCAGAAGACAGGGTTGAGGGAGGCAAGCCCCACCCCCCCCAAAGGAAGCCAAGCTGTCCCCCCTCCAGCACCATAGGGTAGGCATTCTGGGGGTGGAGTGTGGGGCAGGGCCAGGCTGGCGGTATGGGAAGGTGTGATGTAGTGGGGATTTTGTCCACTCTTGTAGTCCTCTGTTCACTCCACTTTGCATTCCCTGGTTGCTTTGTTGTGCTGTACGTGATTCCTACTGTCCTGTGCTGCTCTGAAGTGTGTGTGTGTGTGTGTGTGTGTGTGTGTGTGTGTGTGTGTGTGTGTGTCCCAGCGGGGGATGGGATATCTGGGTGAGAACTCCTGAGGGAAGGCATGTAGGGAACGGCCCAGATCATCCAGATACCTGAGCTAGGTGAAGGATTCAGTCATGGGACACTGTCTAGGAAGCAAGACAAAGCAGGAGGCATGGCGCCTAGAGGACTGAGCCGTCCAGTGCAACTGTGCTGTTTGCCCAGCATGGCTATATACATGCGCGGGCTGCAAATCCACCCAGGAGTGTCCATCTTCAGGCCAAGGTCAGAATTTTGTCCTTTCTTCCTTTTCCCCTCCTCCCCCCTCCCTCCCCCCCCAGGTCCAAAGTGGACCAGCCCCCCAACCCCCAAAGCAGATTGTACTGAGGGCTTCTGGTTCCTGTAACAAGAAGTCTGAACTGCGCTGTCCCTCTGAACCAATAAATCTTCTGTTCTACCTGCTGCCTGAGTCACTTGTGACTGTGGATGGGGGGTGCAAGGCCCGCTGACTCCCACAAACTCCGTGACAAAGGCAATGCCTTCCCTCGCCTAATCTATGCCACCATGGCCCCCCAAGGCGTGGGGTCTGGGGTAGGGGTAGGCAATGGTGTGAGGAGGCAGGTTGATTCCACGGCTCGGCAGATTCGTCCAGTGCAACTGTGCTGTTTGCCCAGCATGGCTATATACATGCGCGGGCTGCAAATCCACCCAGGAGTGTCCATCTTCAGGCCAAGGTCAGAATTTTGTCCTTTCTTCCTTTTCCCCTCCTCCCCCCTCCCTCCCCCCCCAGGTCCAAAGTGGACCAGCCTCGCGATATCCTAACGGGGAACCCCACGGTGATCAGGCTGGTGGTGAGTTTTTACCGTAATGCCCGTGGGCAGAACGCCTTGCGCCAGATCCTGGGCAAGCCAGTGCAAGAAGTCCTGCAGGACAAAACCCTCAGTATCCGCACCAACCCTCTGGACATCTACAAGGCCTGGATCAACCAGCTCGAGTCACAGAGCGGACAGAAAAGGTCAGGTCTGCGCTCCTGCCCCTTGCCCCATCCCCGCCCCTAGTCTTGCCACAGAGGCCATGTTACTTTGCCTTTTTGCTGATGCCAAGGGGTGTCTATCTTCTGTCCACAGCAAGCTCCCATATGACGTCAGTCCGGAGCAGGCCCTGAGCCACCCCGAGGTTCA